GGGCGGTTCGGGGCTCCCGGCGGGAGCGCGGCCGTGCGCTGGAGGCTTTGGGGGCGGCCCTGCAGCACCACGCCGAGGTTCCGCGGCGCCGCCCCCACGAGGCTCAGGAAGCGGCTGCAGCCATGGGGGGGGCGAGGGGAGTGGCCAGGGCACGGGGTCTGGATCACGTGGTGCAGGTGGGCGGGGCTTTAAGGAGGAGATGAATAGGGAGGGGGGGCGGAGGGGGGTGTGGGTGGGCGGGGCTTAGGGAAGGGCGGGGCTTGGATGTGGGTCTGGGGGGTGAATGGGTGGGATTTGGAGTGGGCGTGGCTTGGGAAGTGATTGGGTGGAATGTGGAGTGGGTGTGGCTTTAGGATGGGCGTGGCTTTAGGGTGGGCGTGGGATGTGAAAGAAACACGTGGGAGGGCGTGGCTTAAATGTAGGCGTGGCTTAGCAGTGGTGTTGGTAGTGATTGGGTGGAATGTTGAGTGGGCGTGGCTTACAAGTGGCTTTAGCACCACATGATGCAGGTGGGCGGGGTTTACAATGGGGGGTGTGAGGTGGGTGTGGCTTGTGAATGAATGGGCGTGGCTTTTAGGAGTGGGTGTGTTTAGTGATTGGGTGGGATTTGGAGTGGGCGTGGCTTAGAAATCAATGCACATTGGGTGAGGCCAAATGGAGGCGTGGCTTCGAAGTGGGCGTGGCTTAGGAGGGGGCGTGGCTTAGTGGTGAACAGCGTGAATGAATGAATGAATGAATGGCATGTTGAGATGGGTGGGGCTTAGTGGGGGCGGGCTTGGAGGGGGGAGGGGCTTATTTAAGCATATGGTTCTCAGGTGGGTGGGGCTTATAGGTGGGTGGGATTTGGAGTGGGCGTGGCTTAGAAGTAGGCGTGGTTTAGTGGTGAGTGGTTTGGATGAATGGATGGGGCATAGAAATGGGTGGCGTTTATTCGTGGGTGTGGCCTATGGGTGGGTGTGGCTAAAAGGGGGCGGTGCTTGCAGGGGGCGTGGTCAAGAGCTCCCTGATTCTTCTTGCCTTCCCCCTCTGCAGCTCAACGTGATGCAGGACAAGGAGAAAACAGAGATGTTGCAGTTTGTGAGTGTGGGGCTGGAGGGGAATCTTGGGATGCAGTGGGGCAGCCCTAGGGGGCTCATGAGGGGCTCTTAGCAGTCCAATAAAAGGAGACAGCGGGTGTAAGGAAGGATCTATGGGATCCTGGGGTTAAGTCAAGGGGGTCTGAAAGTATGTGGGGGGGGGGCTGAGGAGGAGTGGAGGGTCTATGGGGGGGACTCCATGGAGGAGTCTGAGGGTCTATGGGGGGGTTCTGTGGGTTTATAGGAGGATTTGGGAGCTGACAGGGGAATCTGGGTCTGGGAATCTGGGATTTGGGGGTATACAGAGCGGGATTCAGGGTGGCTTGTTTGTCCACTGGAGTGGGTCTGGGGGGTCATCAGGAGGGATTTAGGGGTCCACTGAGGGGGCGATGGGGGGCCAAAAAGGGTTTTGCAGGTCCATGGGGTGGTGTGGGGCTCTGTTGGAGCACCATGGTAGGATGCTGGGGCTCCACGTGGATCTTTGGAGGGGCCCAGGGGGGCTCCTGGGGTGACACCTCCTCCCCTCCCACCTTGCCCCCCAGGCTCTCTCCCTATTGGCTGCCCACGCCTCCTTTTTCTCCCATGGCCACACCGCAGCCGCCTCGTCCCAACCATTCCGGACGAGCCTGGGAACACAGGTGGGGGCTCCCAGTGGGATTTTTAGGCCCCTCTGTATTGAGGAGGGTCTCCCAGGGAGGGGGGGAGGGGGGTTCTAAGGGGCTCAGCCCTGCGTTCCCCTCCCCCACGACCCCCAAGTTGGAGCAGATGGAGTTGGAAGCAGCGCGGAGGCAGCGGGACCTGGAGCAGAGGCACGCGCTGCTGCTGCAGCAGGTGGGCGGGGCCTGGAGGGGGCGGGGCCGAGAGAGGGGGCGGGGCCGAGAGAGGGGGCGGGGCCGGAGCCGCCTCTTTGGAGTGTGGGCCAGGGAGTGGGAACAGGGCTATGCTGGGGTAGAGGGCGGGGCCTGGACAAAAGGGGGCGTGGTCTGGACAATGTGTGGTTTGAGCATAGGGGGCGTGGCCTGGAAAAAGGAGGCGTGGCCCGGTCAGAAGGGGCGTGGTTTGGATAAAGGGGGTGTGGTTTGGACATATGGATCTTACAAAGCAGGTGTGGACTGGACAAAAGGGGGTGTGGTTTGTGTATAAGGGGGCGTGGCCTGGAAAAAAGAAGACGTGGTCTGGACAAATAGGGGCGTGGTTTGGATGTAAAGAGGGCGTGGTCTGAGAAGAAGGAGGTGTGGCTTTTGGCGTGGTTTGACAGAAAGGGGCGTGGCTTTGGAAAGTGGGGCGTGGTTTGGCAGAAAGGGGCGTGGCTTTGGGAAGCGGGGCGTGGTTTGACAGAAAGGGGCGTGGCTTTGGGAAGCGGGGCGTGGTCTCGAGGTGGGGCGTGGCCTCCAACTGCCCTTTCCACCCCCCCAATCCAGGACCTGACGCAGGAGGTGGTGGGCGTGGCCAGCGGGGGGGGCGGGGCCTGATGCCCCCCCCATGGAGGGCTATCTGTACAAGAGGGCCAGCAACGCCTTCCGCACCTGGAGCCGGTACCTCCTCCCCCCCCCCCTCCCCCCGACCCCCCAGGACCCCCTCACAAACCCCCCCCCCACACCCCCCAAATGCCCCAAACCCTAAAATGCCCTATAAGATTTTTGCACCCATTGGGGTTCATCCAGGACCCCTAGGGACCCCATAGAGACCCTTATGGAGACCTACGTGGTGCCACAGGCGTCCGTAACGGGACCCATGGAGACCCACGGCGACACCCATTGAGACCCCATAAGGACCCTGAGGGAGACCCGTAGGGAATCCAGAGTGAGAACCATAGGGATCCATAGTGGGACCCATAGAGATCCCATAGAGACCCATAGAAACCTCACAGAGACCCATAGAGGCCCAGTGTCCCCATTGAGACCCCGTGGAGGCCCCATAGAGACCATAGAGAACCTGTAGGGACGCCAGAGACCCATAGAGACCCAATGTCCCCATTGAGACCCCATAGAGGCCCCATAGAGACCCATAGAGACCCTGTAGGGACGCCAGAGACCCATAGAGACCTAATGTCCCCATTGAGACCCCATAGAGACCCATAGAGACCCCATAGGGACGCCAGAGACCCATAGAGACCCAGTGTCCCCATTGAAACTCCGTAGAGACTCCATAGAGACCCGTAGAGACCCAGTGTCCCCATTGAGACCCCATAGAGACCCATAGAGACCCTGTAGGGACGCCAGAGACCCATAGAGACCCAGTGTCCCCATTGAGACCCCATAGAGACCCATAGAGACCCCGTAGGGACACCAGAGACCCATAGAGACCCAGTGTCCCCGTAGAGACCCCATAGCGACCACATAGAGACCCAGTGTCCCCATAGAGACCCAGTGTCCCCATACAAACCCACAGAGACCCCATGGAGACCCAGTGTTCCCATAGCGACCCCATAGAGACTCCTAGAGACCCCATAGAGACGCACTGAGGGCAGTAAGAACTGATAGAGGATCCATAGAGAACCATAGGGACCCCAATAGGGACCCACATGGAGACCCTGTATGGACCCATAGAGAACCATAGCAGGACCCATAGGGCCCCATTGGGACTCAGAGGGGACCCATAGAAGACAGTAGAAAAACCCATATGGCAGAGACACCATGAGGATCCCATAGGGACGATTAGAGACCCATTGAGACCCATAGTTGGACCCATGGGGACCCCGTAGGGCCCCATTGGGAGTCATAGGAAACCTATAAATGACCATAGAGGAACCCATAGGGCAGTGACCCCATAGAGACCCCATAAGAACCCCATAGGGACCGTTGGAGACCTATGGAGACCCACAGTGGCCAATAGAGACCCATAGTCAGACCCATAGAGACCCCATAGGGATCCACTGGGACACATAGGGGACCCATAGATGTCCATAGAGGAACCTACAGGGCAGAGACCCCATAGAGACCCCATAAGGACCCCATGGGGATGATTAGAGACCCATTGAGGCCCATAGAGACCCATAGAGACCCTATAGGAACCCACTGGGACTCATAGGGCACCCATAGATGTCCATAGAGGAACCCATAGGGCAGAGACCCCACAGAGACCCCATAAGGACCCCATAGTGACCAATAGAGACCCATTGAGACCCATAGTTGGACCCATAAGGAACCATAAAGACCCCATAGAGACCCATAGATCCCCACTGGCCCAGTTTTGGGGTCTGGCCCCCAGCTTTTGGGACCCCTCCTCATTTTGGGGTCGCCCCCCCCCCACCCCCCCCCCGATCCTACCGGCGCTGGTTCTCCATTCAGAGCAACCAACGGGTGTACCTCAAGCGGGCCCAGGTATGGGGTGGGGGCAATTATTTGGGGTGGGGGCCCCAAAATTTGGGGTCTGGAGATGGAGGAGGGGTTACGTTTGGGGTCTGGAGATGGGGGCTGCATTCTGGGGGCTGACGTTGGGGTTTTGGGGTTTTTTTGGGGGGGAGGAGGGGGAGAGGGGGGATATTTGAGGCAGACTGAGGCAGGTTTGGGGTCTCCGTTTTGGGGTCTCCGTTTTGGGGTCTCCGTTTTGGGGTCGCAGTTTTGGGGTCTCGGTTTTGGGGTCGTGGTTTTGGGGTCGCGGTTTTGGGGCCATTTGGGCCTATTTGGGGTCACCGTTTGGGGGCCACTTTTAGGGTTGTTCGGAGCCATTTTGGGGCCATTTTGAGACTCTTTGGGGTTCAGTTTTGGGGTCATTTCTGAGGCGATTTGGGGTGCCATTTTGGGATCCCAGTTTTGGGGCAGATGGAGGCACTTTGGGTCAGGGTTTTGGGGTCTCATTTCTGGGACTGTATGGGGCCATTTGGGATCCCATTTTTGGGGCTGTTTGGGGCCATTTGG